GGTTGGGTATTAAAGGGTAGTAAAATGTCTGTTTTTAAGTGGCATTCTTGACCAACACCCAAGAATAGACCCTGCCTAAGTCTCAAAACCAAGAGCAGGTCTGTTCTTCCAGAGAACTTCAATGGCTACAAGAAACTCTCACATTGCTTGGGGGGAGGGAGTGGGCGAAATAAACAGGCAGCTACTCAATTTGAAAGGAAAAAGTACAACAGGGAAATCAGGTTTCAGAAAACCTGCCAGCCCCCTTGCTCCTACCCCTTCAGCAAACCAGTTCTCCTAGGCTTCCTTCCCTTTTTTCATCTCACTATGCTGGGGTTTTTCTTGTTTGTTTGCTTTATGATTTTTAGTCTCTGCTTCTCTGGGTTTACACTTAAGATCCTTCAGAGTTAAATAGATGTGAAATATAAACGTGGGTCAAATTTGGTATAAATTAACACTTAATCATGAGGTTAATTTTTATAACAAAACTGATTTTTTGACAATTAATTCGACCTGCCAGCATTTGCCTCTGGAGTTATGGCAGATGTCTGTGTTCTATCCCATTCACTTTTGCATCAGAGCTTTTTCTTTTTTTTTAAACAATGAATTTGGGTTGTTTTTATTATCAGAAAAAAAGACTTTCAAGTAGTATGTAAAAATTAAGAACACATTTTTATATTTAAAAAATTCATTGGGCTAATTTTAATTAGTCCTAACTTGGAAATTTTACAGTGTCTCTTCAAATTAGAAGTAGAATGATTACCCATTTTACCCCAAAACAGACTCCTAGTGTCAACTTTTAAACTCTATACCTTTGGAATAGCATGACAGTTTGTGCACTGATGCCAGAAATAAACAGGTGTAATGAAGCAAAGAAGAGATGGTGTGGATAAAGACCCAGAACAGACTTGTAAAAATATTTTAAAGGGTTCCTGTATAATCATTAAAAAGCAATTTTAGCAGCTATATAAAATCCAACTTAAAAATATTTGTTTTAAGATAACCACTTTAAAAATGTTTAAAAAGAACATTCCTTTACATTTACATGCAATAAATATAAAGCAAAAACTAAGAATTCCCCACTCACCCCATCCTCCATAAAAGGACTTTAATGGTTTCTTATATTTCCTACAAGAAATTTTTTTTTTTTTTTAATAGAGAGGGCTTGTCTAGTAAGGGGCCTGAAGGATCTTCTGGGGTGTGGTTGTACAGGTATGTTCATGCCATGACCATTCTCAAGCAGTGTACTTTTCTGTATGTATATTTCAATGAAAAAGGTTAAAATGGGAGGCCAGAGGAGAAGCAAAGTAATTTGAAAATGAGTATAAAGAGGAGCAAATACCTGACTAGCAAGACTTTCTGAATAGTTTACAACTAGAGTCAGAAGGAGTCATCTTCCAAAAAGAAACGAGTTTGAAAAAGGTATCCAGAATCACTCCCATGAACTACAGACATGATGAAAATATTGTTATAGTAACGTATCCCAAAATGAAATTACTTTCTTCTGTTATTTTCAAGATGGGCTCAAATTTCAATACTTCGTTGCCCAAACAGACTCTGTTTCAGGAATGCAGGAAACAAAAAAGAATCACAACTTGATTTTAAACAATAACTACTCAACAAGAAATAGAACTAGAAGAATTTCTGTTTCTAATGTGGTCTGTTAAAGATGACAAATACTTTTTTGGTCTTCCTGTATAAGTCAAGGGAACAAAGTTTTTCTCAAACACCTGTTCTGTGTCCCTTTCCATAACCACCTCCTCCTTCCTTCTTTACAACTATGAAATTGTGTTTAGAATGTTTACTTCCAGCATCAATGTACAAAATACCATGCTACTCCAAGGGCATGGGGTTTAAAGGTGGCACTGAAAGTTTATTTTGGGGCAAAATTGATATTCATTTTGCTTATAATTTGAAGAAACATTAAAAATTTTCCAAGTTGTCACACTCATAGGTGGTTCTTGCCATCATTATTCAGAGTGTTTGGCCCTTCGCTGAGCAGGAAGTGGGTTTTAGGTGAAGAGATGGGGAATCTGAGACATTGACAGGATGAGATGGGAGACTAGCCCTCACTTGCTGTTACAATCCCCCACCCTTACCACCTGACCATCTCGGTTCAGAGCTGTGGTCTCTGCAAGATACACCCTAGGGTGACTGTCATGTGTTCACCAGCCTCCATAGTGGGGCGCTCAGGCTCCACTGAGCACTAGTTCACCTGTTTACATGAACCCCAAACCACTTCCTGTAGAAAGCTCTGGCTCCCTGTTTAGAACCCTCTCCGATGACTTCACAAGCATCGAGCAGATGCCTTAAGGTTTGTAGCAGAATATGAACCCTCCTATATGCATATTGGCTTTTCAAACACATATGTTTCTCTTTAATGAACACTGTTAGATAGCTGGGCCTTAGACAACTCTGAGCTGGTCTGCCAGCTCATTCCTATCCACAGTCATGCTAAAAAGAATATTTAGGAAAAGAGGCCTGATTCCAGAGTTAAAGACATTTACAAATAGTTGCTGAATCAAATTTATCATTTAAACTTAGCCAGAAAAGACCCAGAAGTTCCAGTATTGTTTTGCAGGTCAGCATTTTACTTAAAAACACTGCATATGGACATAAGCAAAACCAACTTCAATGCAGAGTCTATACCTCAAGCTTGCTTTATACAAACAAGGAAATGAGATGGAAAAACCATGAGGACATTGTAGATTCCTTCTAGAAGTTGTCATGGAAAGATAATGGAGATTGAAGATAAGATGTAGAGATGGAGGAGCCAGCATTTAAGGGAAGACACTATCTGATAAGCAGCCAGCTGTCTATTCCAATAGGAGAGCTATCTCCAACAAAGTGAGACCTCTGGACTATTTCAGCAGACAGGAGACATGCACTGCCCTGAACTCAGAGGCTCTGAGGAATCTTCCTACACTGTGTTCCCCATGGCTCTGGCAACGGATGATATGCCCACTTGGTCTAAGTACACCTCAAGCTGTGAGAAGCCAAAACTGCTGCTAACAGGTACATTGAGGCTCCAAGAGTCTTAGGGGCAGAACACTCAGCCAGCAATGACAGAATCACCCTTCTCAGTTCAGATTTAAGTATTTTTTTTTTTACCTCTCAAATCTCCAACCATCCAGGGCAAGAGGCCATGCTGTTGCCACCCTTCTCAGTTCAGATTTAAGTATTTTTTTTTTTTTACCTCTCAAATCTCCAACCATCCAGGGCAAGAGGCCATGCTGTTGCTTAGCAACTTCAACAAATCATATCCCAAATCTGCTAGTAGGTGTGGTTAAAATAAACATGGTGACAAAGTCTCTGCAAGATACAACTGGGAGAGGCTAAAGATAGGATACACGCAGACCTTTTAAAAAAGTGTCTATATTTTTTATTCTGGCCAGTTAACACCACACCATGCCCTGACTTCTGTTTCTTATAGGTTTTAACTGTCTTCATAGAAATCCACATGTCTGCAATTTCAGTGAGGTGTAACTCCAGCAAACCATGGCCCAGAGACAAATCTCATGCACACTGCATTCTCATAGGGCCAATATGCACATTAATTCTGATGGGTACAAAATCCTGGAATAGGAGAGATGAAGACCTATGTGCACTGCCATGACTGATTTGTCCATTTGGAAAGATGACTTGGACTTATATTTCAGCCACCCTTGAGTTTCTTCTAGTCTTTAATCCCATCTTCTCTAACTGTGCTTAATGCAATTCAAGGATTCTCAATGCGCAGGGGGAAGGGAGTAAAACATGAATTTTTCTGTTTGTTTTTGCTTTCAGACTCTTTTAATTCAATGATATTCAAAACCCTCCTTCTTTCCTCCTCGCAGGCTGGTACTACTGGCCAAAGAACTTCTGTCATTTATCTCTACAATACAAAGTGCTAAGGGGATTGTGGTATTTCTGTAGGTGACCTAGAATAACTTTCCCGGTTCAGTCAGTTAAACATTAACTAGAGGTTTTCTGCCTTCAGTTTTCTGGTAAAACATCCGCAACCACCAATGTTCTCTCCAGTTCTGATACTCCAATGACCAACCACTCCAGGTAGCATGGCGAACTACTGTGTGGGGCTGTTATCCTTCCCTTCAGGACAAATGAGTAACAAAATCGAATGGCTCAAGGACGCTGCTAAGTGAAAACAGATCAGTGAAACAGCCAATGTCCGCGTTTACTGAAAAGTAACTCCTAACTTCACATCAGGTCCTCGGCTCTGTCACCCGCTGCGCACACAGATATTTAGTTGTTAGTTGTCCAGAAAAGGTTCACAGCTTCCCTCAAAAATTTCCCAGGGGGACAAACCGCAGAAGTTACAGATTCCCTCTATTCCTCGAGAAGTGTCCAGTTCAGCAGAAGAAGTCAGAGTTAGTGTGGGTCTGCATGGCCCATATGTAAACTACCGGAAACGTACGGAATTGATTTATTTTACTACAGGGGAGGGAGTAAGACACAGGGACGACCAAGACAGAGACCCAGGCTTTCAGTTCACAGGGCAAACAAGTCGGCAAAGTAACTACAATTCGCGCAACAAGTAACCAAAAGCAGAGGTGGGCCAGGCGAGGCAGGGGCAAATCGCTCAACTGTGAAAAAGCCTGGCCCTTTATCTCAAGTGAGACAAGGCGGATAGCGAGGGGCAGGTCTAAATTCCCCCAGCAACTCGTCCAGGGGCCTGGCACCCAGGCGCCTCAGGTTAAAGGGCCGAGTCCTACCTAACACTGGGAACCGCGCCCCTCCTCACCCTGCGGCCCCCTCCTCACCCTTCCTCGGCGCGAGCTCAGTGGCCGCCTTGAAACCCACGGAGAGGTCTGGGCACCAGCTGGTGTGGGCCCCAGATTCCCTCCACCAGCCCGGCCGGCTCGCGCCCCACCAAGACAGCCTCGGGGATCCTGAGCCCCTGGCCAACCCTTAACTCGGCTCCCGCCCATCCCAGCCCGAACTGTTCCTCCTCCCCCCTCATGACTCCTGCCCCGACCCCGGTTCGGCGCTTCCACCACAAACCCGAGCCTGAGGGACCCCACCTCGGGCGGGAGCCGGCGGCAGCAGACGGCGTCGTGGGGATCAGTGCATCCTGTGGTTTCAGGGAGCCGGAAGTGGGGCCGCGCGGAACCCGCAACGGAGTTATGTAACCAGTAGGGGCCGCAGCCGGGACGGAGGCGGTGGCCCACAGCACTTCCGCCTCCCGTCGCCGGCCGGAGGCCTAGGCTGCAAGCCCATTGGCCACTGACACCCACGTGGGACGCCACCTCTCAGAGGCCGAGGGCGCCATCTTAGGAGCGGGCACGTCTCGCGCGAAGCCGGGCGGCAGAGAGGCTGAGACACCAATGGGGTAGTAGAGGCGCGTCTGCAGGGAGTCGGTGAAGTTGTAACTACTGGCGGAGGCGCCAAGATGGGAGCCTGAGAGCCCTACGGGAGGCTTCCAAAGACGAGAATTGCTCATAGCCCCCACTTCTCGCCTAACGTTCCCCTAGTTTGGGTTTGGAGCTCGGGCCTGTCCTTCCACAGCGACTGCGGGGTGTTGAGCCAGGGAAGCGTGACTGGGTGACCAACCCCGGCTGGTGACCACGCCACCCCGCCTAGCGTCGGACATCCGCCAGCAGCCAGAGGCCCGTTTTTGCAGAAAGGCCGTTTAGGGCTGTCGCTATGTAAATTGGCAGGTGTCAGTTGCCCTCAAGTTGCAGAAGGGTCTATATCACAAGATCTAGGGAACCGTGTTAATATCTGATGTTAACCTTAAAGCAGGTATTTATTCTTTGCCTTCAAATAACATAAACTGGTCCACAAAGCCAATGAATGGCATAAGAAAGACCTGCTTAGAGTCCAGGGCTGTAATGATCAACCCCTAAAGGATTTAGTTCATATCCAAGAAAATAAACGTTATCATAGATTAAAACGGTCTGAATAAAATAACAATATGTTAGAAATGTTAAGAGCACGATCTTTTTAACATTTTAACAGAAAAGTTACATAAAGAGATTAGAAGTTTTAAAAGTAATTGGTATAAATGGATCAAGAGTAGTATAACAAGGAATAGATCATCTATTGTGTACGTAATACGTGTTGTGGTTTTCAGAATCCCGATTCGTGTAAAGCAACCTGTATATTTCCTTTTTGTAACAGTTTCTGCAAGTTCCTACTTTTTAAGAAGGCTGAAAAATCATTTGGACAAAACGAAAATTAATATACTATTTACAACTGTAGAGTTACGGGTTTAAGTACTGCAAACATGCTACTGTAAGCAAAGATGCTATGGTAAATAGTGTTTAGGCCCATTCAGAACACTTTGAGCACTCTGCACAATTATGTTTAGTGTGTCGTTATTATTTATAATTAAACTTGTTGCAAAAAAAAAGATTAGTTAGATCCACACAATACAGCAAGATAAATAACAGGACAGTCAAGAGGGAGGGAGGTGTGTAAAATGCATATTTTCACGTCTACAGACTTTCTAGTGTTGGGCTGCAGATTTAAATCCAATCTCTTCAGAATTCATTTTGAAGAGAACGACTGGTTAGAAGATTTGGTGAATTAGTGTGTCAGAGGTGGCTAATTGTCCCCTCGTGTCCATTGTGCCACTCCCCCTCCTCCATTTTTTTTTTTTAAATAACTGCTTTATCATATCTTGTAGTAACACAACCTCACCCCTTATAGTAGGCAAATAGCTGTCAAGCTAGGTTTGTATTTCTTGGTCTCCTTTGGGCAAGGTGAGGTTATATGCCAAAGTTTTTACCAATAGACAAGAGGGAAAATGATGTAGGCAACTTGTCCTCAAAAGGAAATTGCTTAAATGTTAAAATTGGTGAAACTCGGTGAAAGGTACATAGGTGTTTACTACATTATTCTTTCAAATTCTCAGAAGGTTTGAACATTTTTAAATAAAAAGATGGATTTAAAAAAGGAAATTGCTTTCCTTCCTTGTCTTTTTTTTCCCTTTCCCCATGTTGTCATCCATGGATGCAGGTTAAGCCCCTTCAATCACACGAGAGACAAACCTTATGTAGGTCTTTGCTACTCAAAGTGTGATCTGTGGTCCAAGAGCATCAGCATCACCTGCGAGGTTGTTAAAAATGCAGAACCTCAGGCCTCACCCAGATTGACTGAATCGGAATTTGCTTTTAACTGAGAATCTGCATTTAGTAGGATCCCTAGGTGATTTATATGCATATTAAAGTTTGAGAAGTACTGCCTAGGTGATGACAGAGTAATAATATTCTGTTGGTTCTAGGGTTCAGTGTACAGATGAGGTTAAGATGAGTTTAAGATGAACTGTCAAAACTGAGAAGGGCATATATATCCATTAGAACTTTATAAACACTCTTTTAAAACACAAATGAGAAAGTAATAATGATCATTACTTTCCCAGGGCTCACTATGAGCCAGGCACTGTGTTAAGCATCTTACACAGGATCTCATTTATCTTGAGGACAATTGTTTCAGTTAGGTGCCATGGTTTTACAAGGGATATTCAAGGTAGCTGTCCTCTTAAAAAATAATAATAATAAAGCCTCTCCCACTGTGTGGGTGATATTGACTCCACCCCACAAATGGTCCCTAATTGACCTATCCAATTAGAGTCAGCACATTCTCCTTGGCTCCCTGATTGGCTCAGATAACTCAGTAAGTGGGAGAGACATCTGCTGGTTACAGGGATTGGTTCAGAAAAGGTCTAATCAGGACCGAGCTCAGTACTGATTGGTTCTCCTAGTCTTTGCATTCTTGGGTCCTTTTTCTCTCTCTGGTATGTTTTGAGATATTTCTTCCACATCATCTAACAGACCACTGGCTCTGTGATAACCAGCCTCTCCTTCAATTTATCTATTGAACTTAAAAAAACAAAACAACAACAACAACAAAAAACATGCTTTTCAGTTCAAGAAAGTTTTGCTACAATCACATCTCCTCCAGTTATTATATTGGGGCAAAGCTGTCATTTGTCACTTCCAGAAGTTCTGTCTCATCAGGAATGGCCTATTCTAAGAGTTCTGCCCACTCCTCCTCCCTCTGGCTGCAAGATCTTTTCAGGTGTATTATTACTTTTCTATTGCCTGCTCCTGGGTCCTTTTACCCTCTGGCCATGGTCAAGCAGAGAGATAACTAGAGGCACTACCAGTGGGCAAAGCTAGCAGTCTCTACTCCTGCAGTCTAGCCAAGCTGCTGAGTAGAGGCAGCCCTTTATGGAGCACTTAAAAGAAAAACCCTCAATTCTTGCCTCCTATGGTGCAGAACCCTCTTCCAGCCTTAGAGATAGGGAGATAATCAGGCTTCTGTGGGCCAGGCAGAGCAGCAAGCTACCATACACATGGGCAGACTCTACCCTTCCAGAGCCTTGGCTTAGTTACTCTGCTAATTATGAAGTAATACATACTGTAACAAATAAGAATTAACTTTTTCTGCTGTTCCATGAATATCCAAGGCCAAGATCTCTCCAAAATTAAGGCATATTAATTTTCAGCTCTCCCCTCTTGTCCCCAGGCTCTCAGCTGGCCCACAGGGGAACAAAGTCAGGTACTGCTCTCTTACACCAACCTGGGTGATTGTACTGCCTAGGGCCTTACTCACTGCTCCATCAGTAGATGGACTGGGGTTGGGGTGAGGGGACAGCAGGGACTGGTGATCAAGTTTACCCACCAATACTCAGACATTCGGGTTATAAACGGTATTGCACTAATAGCCTTATACAGAAACCTGCACATGTTTCAATTATTTCTGTAGG